AAACACAATGAGTGTCGCGTAGAAAATGCTTTTCGATAGGGGACCCACAAGCGGGTCTCAGGACGGCAATGAGTGAAACACAATGAGTGTTGTGTAGAGCGAATGCTTTTCGATAGGGACCCACAAGCGGGTCTCAGTATGGCAATGAGTGAAACACAATAGTGCCGTGTAGAGCGAATGCTTTTCGATAGGGGACCCACAAGCGGGTCTCAGGATGGCAATGAGTGGGCAGAACCCTTAAATAGAAATGACTGTAGTTGTACGAGTGGCTTATTGTACCCTCATTGATATGTTACTGTAAAACCCCTCCTGAAATATGGATTGTAGAAACTTTACTGTAATAATAAAGGAACACCGACCAATTAGGTCATTCTATAAACCGTAAAAAAAAAATGAATGGCGACAAATGAAATCACGAAAATATTGCAAGATTTCATTTGTCGACATCCATATGGCCCTCAAGACCGCTGTAATGCCAATGGATGCCAAAAGGTTATGCTACTTATTCTCTACCTTAAATTGCACCTTTGTTCTATGGGCATTCCCTTAATAAATAAAGCTTTTTAATCAAAAATCCATTTGTTAACGTTACAATTAATTGATAATGAAATAATCACTTACCAGTTTTTTTTCAATTAAAGGTATTCGTATTTTTGCATTTGGATATCTCCATTTTTTCCAGCAAATTTTATAACATTTTAAAGCTTCGTTTAAATTAGTTTCTATTCCAATGCCCTCATAATAACAATCACTAACCATACAACATGCTATTTTATCCTGATCTCCGGATTCTTTGAATAAATCAAATGCTTTGGCTTTATTTTCTTTACAACCCATCCCATTCATATACATAATAGCAAGTTCACGTTTTGCTTTTAAAATTCCGCCGCTCGCAGCTAAATTAAAATAATGAAAAGCTTCGTTATAATTTTCAAGACAATATCTGTAACAAAAGGCTGCCTCATAATAAGAATAAATGTCCTTTTTCTCACAGCCTTTTTTACACCAATGTAAACACTCCTCATAGTCTTCATCTGTTCCAAACCCTTTCATAAAAAAATATGCAATAATTGTTTCACGACGTTCTATTTCAAAACTCATGGCGAAATCCAAAATTTTTTTCGAATTTTTTTGATTGTTTTTAAGCCAACTGTTTATGTCATTTACAGTATCGTCAGAATTAGTATCCATATCCTTAATGTACAATTTAATGAAATCTTGAAACAGATTTGCAATAATTGTATTAAAGACAGAGAAATTACTAGCACATTGCTCTGTGTTAAGAATATTTTCGTCAAATTTTTTATCAGCCTCCAACTTTATGTTGCTAACAGTATTATCAACTTCGTTTATTTCTGGCCGCTTTTCTGGACATAAATCCCAACATTTTTTGTAAAGACTTACATATTCAATGGGCGTGGCGGGATTTGGATCTTCCCGATGATCAAAATATAATATATTTTGAACAATTTGGAGTGCACTTGCGTTTTGAAATGGCGATCTTCCTGTGGTTAACTCCCAAAACAATACACCAAGGCTATAGATATCGG